ACCAAACCTCATTTTTATTTTTTACTTACTTTTTCTTATCCTAACCTTTTCTTTACGACACCGTGTAGCTAATATAGAGTCAAAGAATAGTTGCACATCTACTTACTTTTTCAGACAAAAGTTTGCACTGTGCTTGTTGTACAATCGCGATGCAACAATGTTACTGTAAGCCAGGCCCACCTATTATTACTTTGGCAAACTCCATGCCGCAAAGTCCCAAGACTTTGTCCTAAGCACCTGTTTACACGCAGCTGTCACTGTTCTGTTCGACTTTTCGAAACTTTGTTCCAACCCCAGTCACTCAGCTGCTTTGAGCAGTTAGGAGATGGTTCTGGCCAGCCATAGCATTCTGCAAGCACGCTCTACCCTGTATCGTCATCCTAGGCATAGTCTATCTGTGTGAGTTACATACGCAGCAGCATATCGGTCTGCGTTTAAGTCTATGTAATTTAGAGCGGACCTCTCACAAGAAGTCTGCATAAGGTTCATGGATGGTCTCTGTAGATTCTTATTAGTAATCAGTGAATGTTCATGCCAAAGACTGCTGACATCGGCCAGCTCACAGCTTCAGAGAATATGAGGGAGATGCTACTGCTGCATTTCCACTGGCCACCCACTGAGAGGGCAGTGGCAAACTCTCTCCCCTCTACGTGCTACCAGAACCTATCATCTGCATTGTTTTGCGGTGGAGTATTGAGATTGTACGGGCCATGGGAATTATATAATCAGATGGCGACAAAGCTCAGTACATGACAAGCACCCAAGGGCCAGCTCGCCATGGAGTTCCCTCTGTCTTCTTGTTCTTCTCTCATATATCTATGGACGTGTCTCATATCTGTTTACTTGCTTGCTGTTCACTTTCAGAGACATCGACACTATCTGCCTGGCCCAAAGGGGCTACCTCTCATCGGCAATCTATTTGACATACTATCTGAAGACTACGGCTGGATCAAATACAGAGAAATTGCGCAGCAATACAGTATGCATCCACTGCCTCCTGCAAATGTTTTATCAGCTAATATACTGCGGTTTCTTAGAGTTGGACGTCATTCATTTTGAGGTTTTCGGATCACATTATGCAGTACTCAACAGCATGAAGGCTACAAAAGATCTCTTTGAGAAGTGATCAAACATTTATTCAGACAAGTGAACGCTTAGTGACTATCACTCATGAATCACAATACTCAATCAAGTCCACAGGCAGCAGTTGGTCATGCAACAAGAGCTGTGCATACTTTTCAGTCATTCCGAAGCTGGACAATCCATCTCACTAAGCTGTAGGACTGGTTTTCATCGAAATTGGCCCCTCATGAAATATGGCAATTATTGTAGGAAGCACAGGAGGTTATTTCATCAACATTTCTGCCTGCTAGCTGTACCTCAGTATTATTCGAGACAAGCGAAAGGTATCTACGGCTTTCTGCAATCATTATTGGAGTCTCCAGAAGAGTTTCAACAGCACCTTTGCTTGTACGTATAACTCATTTCAGAGATCTGTCATCGTGTTGCTGAGCACATGAATAGTATGGCAGGGTCCACAATACTGGACGTTGTGTATGCTTTTGATGATGTACAGCCAGGCGACCCGAGGATAGAGTTGCCCGAAATGGCTGCTTACACACTGGGGGAGGTTGTCAATGCTGGCATGTGGTTAGGTGTGTAACATAATCTTGCACTCATAAGAGATCTTAATAGTCTTCAAATTTGCAGTTGACTTGTTTTCCATCAGTCAGTTACACTTAATTTTGCTCTGTGCAGTCTATTACGGTAACCGAATGTTAGTGAAATACATTCTGTCTTGGTTTCCTAGTGCGAAGTTCAAACAGCAAGCTACCAAGTGGAAAACTTTGGTTGATGACATACATGAGATACTATATAATCAATACAAGGTGGCAATAGTACGTTTTACCACTACCAGTTGACCTACACCTCACGCTAGCCTCTCGGGGTTTGTTCAGCGAGAGGGCAATGCCAAGCCCTGTTTCATGGCAGCATTGCTCTCTGGGCTCGGAAACAATGAAGATATGGAAAGCCTTGAAGAGGTCTTTCTGGCCCTGACCGGGACCGCCTTCATAGGTGAGAAGAACACACGCTGTACTGGTTACTAGGTGGCATCATACTGATATCTATCGAGCATAGCCAGATCTGACACTGTGAGCTGGGTGATCTGAGTGCACAGACAGCAGCTTATTGTTGTAGATGGTGGCAACGCTTAGCATCTTTGTATTAGCCACAACAATGTTTCTAAAGACGCAACTTGCCGCATAAGATGAACTCGACTGGGTAGTGGGTAGGAAGTGCTTACCCAATTTCAAGGATCGCGAGTCTCTGCCCCATATCACTGCCATCATTCATGAGGTGTTGCGGTGCGTTAATGTCATTAGAGCTAATTTTCATACTCATTGCGACGTAGTTGGCATCCTGCTGTGCCCCTTGATACGTGAGTATGCTCGTTCATGAGGCGTCTAGCTTTACAGTATATAGACAGCACTTCCACATCGGAACACCGTCAATAACGAGTACAATGGATACCACATCCCGGCTGGCACCACTGTCATATGCAACTCCTGGTACGTTTTGCACTACAGAGTGTGATGTTATCTGACTTATATGGCCAGGGCTATACTTCATGATGAGAACACCTTTGCCGACCCTGACGTATTCAAGCTGGAGCAGTTCCTTAATGAGGATGGCTTGCTGAGGGACGACATACCTTATCCCATTGAAGCATTTGGTTTTGGGTGGCGGATGTGCCCCAGCTGCTACTTCGCGCATGATATCCTCTGGCTGGCCACTGCAAAAATCCTTGCCATCTTCAGTATTGTATGTGCCGTCGATGAGAATGGGGAAGAGATCGAGGTGAAAGAAGATTTCACTCTGCGGCTTATCAGGTGAGCAGACTTTCATGTGTTGATCGCTCGAAGACTTCATATCGAGACGAACACTACAGTATGCCCCAGCACTTCAGATGCAATTTCAAGCCGCGTTTTATTGGTGCCGCAACTCTGGTTTGTTCTACCATTCTGACTGACCAAGTTAACTAATAGTGAACCTGAAATAATTCATTGTTTGTTACCGTAATCGTAAGGAGCGTGTACATTAATGACTAACACATTGTGGCCGGGCGGCCAAGGAGCTAAAGGGAGTTCTGTCGCGCTTCACTTCACATTCTTCAGGTCAGAACTGATTTGGTGCACAGCGGAAGACATTAATGTTTGTCGTGTCTCCGGTCCCTCTGGTTCTGTGGACTTGAATGGTAGTGGTGCCAGCAGTAGCAAAAATGAACTCGATTCTGTGAATGATGTCAAGCCGAAAGGATCCATACAGCGTAGATCATAGCTCTCACCTCGTAGCCCACGGTACTGATGTTGACGTTGCACTCGACGGTCGCCTTTCTGAGGCGTGCCGCACTGTCTAATTTTATTGAAAGCTCCGATGCTCATGATATGCTTAAATCCGCGTGAGTCCCAATGCCGACACACGAGCGCAAGACAAATAATCATTTTAATCTCACTCAGTTTGTCTCCCGCAATCTTATGCCTGTGAGGTAGAAGTGCGAAGCCAAGTTGCGGCAACGATGGCCGATCCTCGCAGCGGAACGTCAATTAGGGCGCCGCCCATATTTCGGCAGACCCCGTGCCACAAAGTTTTGATCCTCGGCCCAAGTCTTCGCTCTGCGCCCTACTTCACCTTGAACCACCACCAGCAGACCAGCAGACTACTGTCTCCGTTTGCCTGCGGTCATTCTAGTCTCTCAAAAAACAAAAGAACGGAAGCATGAAGTAAATATCAGGCATTCTCGGAGGTCGCCTGCACGTGTCGCGTCATCTTACGGTTCCAACGTTTGAAAATGCCATACCGTGTGCTTTTCGCCGTATTTGCAGCAGGTCACAGCATTTGATGCGCCCAAGTAGGTGCAATAATATAGACGGATTAAATAATCGTGCCTGAATGCTGCTCGTGCAATACAGGGTCCTCAGAGAGCGTTCCCATCGGTATCAGTGCTAGAGGCTTCTAGCGCGGACTTGGGGTTTGCGGATCCGGACCAACTCTCTACATGTGACTGAGATACGCTTGGCCTGGGTCATGAACCGTGTTGCTGCACGGAGCGACTCATGAGAGCCTGATTCACAATTCTCTGGAAGGTCATAACATTGCGCTGATGCTTCAGAACTCGAGTTTGGTCCTAAAGCTATATACGCAACCCTTGTCCCTACTGCGCTTCTTCCCTTACCATTGTGAATATTGAGCCGCGCCATGGAAGCAGTTTCACTGGTTATTGCGCTACTTATCCTCGGCGCACTTTCTACATACCGCAATGGCAGACAGCGCCGTCTACCTCCAGGTCCAAGGGGCCTACCAATCGTTGGGAATGCTTGGAACATGCCTAAAGAGTTCGAATGGCACACCTATGAAAAGTGGAGTCGCGATCTTGGTACGTATGCTGAACTTCCAGATCAATTGCAAGCGTGGCTGAACGGCTGCTTAGACTCGGACGTTATTCACCTAAGCGTCTTTGGCACAAGCATCGTTGTCCTCAACTCCGCAAAAGCCACAAATGACTTGCTCGATAAGCGATCCACCCTTTACTCCGACAGGTAGGTTTGCAGCCTCCCTGATCCTTCTAGCCTGCTAGATGTGCTAATGCTGCCTGCTGGTGCGTTGCCCTAGAGCGCATATGGTCATGTTGCTCGAGCTGTAAATGTACCGACAATATTTTTCATCCTATAAATTTCACTGATGACGCATAGAGTTGGCTGGGAGCGAGCCATAGGGTTCCTTCGCTGTGGAGACGAATGGCGGGAGCACCGCAGGCTGTTTCATCAACACTTCCGCTCTACTGCCATCACGGAATACCATCCTAAGATGTCGAAAGAGGCCAAGAAGCTACTCAGAATTCTCGTCGACAAGCCCGGCGATTTCATGAAGCACGTTCGAACGTAAGTTGCAAGGCTAACTTGTTGAGGTACAAGCTGACGCCATGAGCAGCATGGCTGGATCTATCATCCTGGGCATAACTTTTGGCATAGAGTTTCAGCCTGAGAACGACCCGTACGTGCTTCTCGCTGAAAAAGCACTTCATTCGATGGCGGCTGTAGGTAATGCCGGAGCCTACATGGGTGAGCCGGTTTCACTATGGAAGATATTGCTGTAACTGATACGCTGGAAGTTGATTTCTTACCATGGTGTGCGTACTCGCAGGCTCGCAGACTCTCACTGATGCGACCTGGGCTTACGGTCCTCTGTAGTAAAGCACCTGCCGTCCTGGATTCCCGGAGCTGAGCTTAAGCGCGAGGCTGCTGAGTGGAATCAGTCTGTCACAGCCATGTACGAGAAGCCGTTTGCGTTTGCGAAGCAGGCGATGGTGAGCGCCAGTATTCGCTAACAGTTACGTCCTTGGCTGACAATCTTCTCAGTCAGAAGGAAATGCTCCGCCTTCAATCCTTGCATCAGAGCTCGCCAAACTAGATACTCTCGAAGACAGCTCTCGCAGAGAAGACGTTGTTCGCAATGTCGCTGGTACCACCTACGTCGGTACGTTGGCACATTTGTTCTCGGTATCTTTTGCTGACACCGCCTCCAGGTGGCGCGGATACAGTACGCTTTCATGCTTCACAAGCTGAGCTGTACTAAATTATGCGTTAGATGGTTTCCACTCTGGGAAGTTTCGTTCTAGCCATGCTGCTCTACCCGGATGTCCAACGTGCGGCCCAAGAGGAGGTCGATCGCGTCATCGGCAATGGACGACTTCCTGATTACGGCGACAAAGACACGCTTCCATATATTACAGCTATGCTAATCGAGACTTTGAGGTAAGCTACGTTACGTTTTACACGTATCTCGTCGTTTAACGTACAGCTAGATGGAGACCTGTTAGCCCTCTCGGTGCGTAATCCCGTCTCCTCTGTATTATCTCTGCAGACGAACAGGTATCGTAATAGCGGGTCCACACAGGCTCACGGCTGATGATGAATACAACGGGTATGACCTTCCTGCGGGCTCGATAGTCATAGGCAATTCTTGGTACGCTTCGTCAACAGCTTGTGCACCTCGGAGCTACACATGACGACCACCGGTTCTAGGGCTATCCTTCACAGCGAGACCCGCTACCCAAATCCCGACGCCTTTGACCCAACGCGCCACCTCACCTCGGATGGGAAGCTTGACAAGGATGCCTTCGGCCCTATCGAAGTGGCCTTTGGATACGGCAGGAGGATCTGCCCTGGACGCCATTTCGCCATGGACTCCTTGTGGATCGCTATAGCGTACCTTGTGACGACTGTGGACATCAGGAAGGCCGTGAACGAAAACGGCTATGTCATAGAGCCCAGTGGGGCTTATACCCCGGGTCTGGTCAGGTGAGCGCGGTACCAGAATATGATGGGAATTTGTCCTGAGCACCGATTAAATGCAGCTATCCTGTTCCTTTCGAAGCTTCGTTCGAGCCACGGTCGGCGGCTGCGGCGACACTCATTCGGTCGAGCAGTTCTGAGTGACTTGTTAGGACACTGCAGTTTTTGCACAATGGTTCTTCAAAATTCGAGACGTTCTCGGGCAGGATATAAGGTAATCCGAGGGCACAGGTGCGTGGGTTTCCCAGGAGAAGCGTCGAGCTTAGACCTGCCGTACTTTAGCATTCCGGCCCTGTTCTATATGGCCTGTGACTCATCACCTGAACTTAGCCCATGTCTGTTTCTGGGCACGGCTCGTCGTTTTGGTGTCACAATCATTCGCCTTCTCCTCGTCATATAGATAGCTGATGCCGATAAGAATTAAGGATCAAGGAGGTGTATTACATAAGAGTCCTCCGTTGACTTATAGTCTTTTAAATCGATATCTCCTCAATTCCTACACCCTAACAACATGATCAGCATCACACTCACATTTTTTGTCTCGTTCGTTGCGTTATTCGCCTATCTTAAACGAAGACGTCACCTCTTGCCTCCTGGACCATCAGGCTTACCTATCATCGGGAATGTGTGGGATATTCCCAAGAGCTTCGAATGGCTTGCTTACGACAAGTGGAATCGAGAGTCTGGTACGCACTTATCGGGCTCACTGGACGTAACTCAAACGCTCATTCCTGCTGTCAACAGACTCGGACATTATCCACCTACGCATCTTTGGCGCCTCTATCATTGTCATTAACTCAGCCAAAGCGGCAAATGAACTCCTCAATAAACGATCGACCCTCTATTCCGATAGGTATGCTGCTGCATTTACTGCCAGTTAGTTGATCGTGACGGGCTACAACAGGGAGGATATGGTTATGCTGCTAGATCTGTGGGTGTGGTCTCGAGTGGTCTCGAAGTATCATGGCTGAATAAGCTGCAGTGTCGGCTGGCGACGACATCTTGCATTTATGCGCTATGGTGACACATGGCGATGCCATAGACGGCTCTTCCACCAGTACTTCCATCCTGCCGCGGTGCATGCGTACCGTTCTAAATCGGCGGAGGAGGTCAAAAAGCTTCTGCCGCGTTTACTGTCTGAACCGGACGATTTCATGAAACATATACGAACGTCAGTGGATGGCATCCTTTCGTCGTGTCTACAGCTCTAACTACCTATATCCTCAGCATGACTGGGTCTATCATACTGGGTATTACGTTCGGCATGGAGCTCCTGCCCGAAAACGATCCGTATGTCACACTAGCTGAAAAAGCGCTTCACGCGATGGCGGAAGTGGGTAATGTGGGATCGTACATGGGTATGTAGTCTCCCATCTACTAGTACGCATAGGCCTAATGTGTTTGTCTCAGTCGACTACTTACCGTGGTGTGGGTGTCGTAACATTTTGGCTCCACAATTCCTGACACACAGAACTCTTGTGCAGTGCAGTATCTGCCGCCATGGGTACCTGGTGCCGGATTCAAGCGGCAAGCTGCAGAATGGAACAAGACGGTGGTCGCGATGTATGAGAAGCCATTTCAGTCTGTAAAACAGGCAATGGTAAGCTCGGGATTTCCGTACCAATCATCTATGAAGTGCCAACCTTGACCGTAGGCTCTGGGGAAAGCACCTCCTTCTATCATCACAACAATGCTTGAAAAACTAAATCCTGAAGAAGAGAATGCTGGTCGCGAAAGCATGATCCGTAATGTCACAGTAACGGCTTATGCAGGTGCGTCACTGTTCCGCATATACTATATTTTGCTGCATTCGTATTCCCTGCAGCTGGTGCAGATACGGTAAGTCTGCTCTGAGCTCTCATGTAGCGCAAAGCTAAGAGCATGCACCAGACTGTATCTTCTCTTGGGACCTTCATACTTGCAATGCTCCTGTATCCCGATGTTCAGCGGCGGGCGCAAGAGGAAGTCGAACAGGTTGTGGAAACTGGTCGCTTCCCTGGATACGAGGACAAGGAATCACTTCCGTATGTTGTTGCGGTGATGAAGGAGACGTTAAGGTGAGCTTTCTTGCTTGCGCTCCGCTGTGCATACACAAACTTGACATGACATTTGCAGATGGCACCCTGTCGCTCCTCTTGGTATAACTCCACTTACGCTCGTTCCTCAGTTGTTTGACACTGATTAACCGTGCGCCGCACAGGAGTTCCGCACAAGCTGAGAGCAGACGATGAATATAACGGATATTACCTCCCGGCAGGTTCAATTGTTGTCGGCAACTCCTGGTAGGAGAAACCCAAGCTATTTACATCTGCAGGTGTTCATTTCCCTTGACAGGGCTATCCTCCACGACGAGAAAACATACCCGAATCCGAAGAAGTTTGATCCCACGCGCTTCCTGACTCCTGCAGGAGAACTCGCAAAGGGCGCGCCAGACGTCGAAGCAGCATTTGGCTTTGGTCGTAGAATCTGTCCCGGGAGATACTTCGCCATGGAGTCCATGTGGATCGCGATGGCATGTGTGTTGGCCACATTGAACGTTGAGAAAGCTGTGGACGAGGCAGGGAACGTGATTGAGCCCAGTGGTGAATATACCTCGGGTCTAATCAGGCAAGTTTACGCACTGAGAAGTTTTCGCTTACTGAGCTAGACGGCATCTTTTTGCAGCTACCCTGTATTTTTCAAGGCATCGTTCAAGCCTCGATCTGCCGCGGCTTTGGCCCTGATCCAATCGAGCACTTCGCTAGAACAAGAATAGCTTTGTATAGCATGGACGCTTTCATAACCTGGGTCTGTGTCAGGATGGTTGCCAAGAAGGTCATACTCGAAGCAAAAATATGATAATTCACAGAAATTGCACGATTCTTGCTTCCAACCCATGGGGAAATGTGACGGATTGCATCTCAGGGACATAGCATATGCTAGATCGACGGTATGAAAGAAGTTGGCGCGAATCACCTGAGAGCTTAACGCCGTTTAACAGTGGAAATTTTTCTCTTCGAGCTTAATCCGCCGCTCTTTCTGGCTAGGGCACATGATTTGGCGAGAAGTATATTCATGGTCTTCCTTCCTCCTTATCGGACTGAATGGCCGATAACGATACATAAAAGGACCTAGGTCCCAGATATCCAAACAGCATAAGAACCCAAATTCACCTTAGTTCAACCTTCTAGCTGTCTCCTCCTCCTGAACGACTTGAGGAAGCGTTTTACTTTATGATCGGCAACTCGCTTGCGCTTCTTGTGCTGTCCGTCGCGCTATTCCTCTATCTCAGACGGAGGCCTCGTTCCTTGCCCCCTGGGCCAAGAGGTCTTCCGGTCATTGGGAATGCACGGGACGTTCCGAAGAATTTCGAATGGCTCACTTACGACAGATGGAGTCGAGAGTATGGTATGTAACCGTGCGGTTTAGCGACATACCCAACATCCATAATGCCTTCAACAGATTCAGACATCATCCATCTGCGCATGTTTGGCACCACGGTCATTATTATAAACTCTATGAAAGCTGCGAATGAGCTCCTCAACAAGCGGTCAAGCATCTATTCTGACAGGTCTGTCGCCGTACATGTCTGGAACGAGTCGTTTTGACAAGCCACATGGCAGGGAGCATTTAGTCATGACGGCAGACCTGTGTGTTTGGTCCCGGTATTAAAAGATCTATTACGCCATTCTGAATCCTCTGTAGCGTTGGCTGGGACCGCGACATTGGCTTCATGCCTTACGGTGACAAATGGCGAGAGCATCGACGGCTCTTCCACCAGCAGTTCCGTCCTGCCACAGTGCACACATACCATCCCAAATTGTTAGAAGAGGCCAGAAAGCTCTTGCCGCGTTTGCTGTTCCAGCTTGGTGACTTTATGCAGCCTCTCCGGACGTCAGTGGAGTATGTACTTACGCTACGGCGCCCACACTGACCGGACCAATTCTAGCATGACTGCTTCCATGATATTGGGTGTGACTTACGGAATGGAGCTTCATACCGATAACGATCCGTACGTTATATTGGCTGAGAAGGCGGTTCACTCGATGGCGGCGACGGGCAACATGGGATCGTATGCCGGTGCGCAGCCTACTACTAGCGACTAAGTGTCACGCGCTATACTGACCTGTTCGACTCAGTTGATTACTTACCATGGCGTATATTTTTATTTTAACATTTGTCCATTTGGCATCCTGACTCCGACTATCTGTATAGTGCGGTATTTGCCATCGTGGGCTCCCGGAGCCGGATTCAAGCGTCAAGCAGCGGAATGGAAGGAATTGGTGGTTGAGATATTCGAAAGACCTTTTGTGTCGATAAAGCAGGCGATGGTAGGAGGATAGCATTGATTCACCGTGTTACTCACCTTATCAAACTTTGTTTGTTCCTTAGTCCTTGGGGAAGGCACCACCGTGCATTCTCACGACGATGCTTGAAGAACTGGACCCGAAGAAAGACAACTCGGACCGAGAAACTATGATCTGCCAAGTCACAGGAACAGCTTACAATGGTAAGCTGCCTGTTTATACATCCTGATCTGTCTCATTCATACTTCTGCAGCAGGGTCAGATACGGCAAGTCAAATTTAATAGTATCCCTTACCCAGAAATCGAGCCTCTCCATCAGCCTGTCTCTTCGCTAGGGACCTTCATACTTGCGATGCTCCTGTACCCCGACGTTCAGCGACGAGCGCAGAAAGAAATGGACCGAATCATGGGCTGCGACCGTCTCCCTGAATTCGAAGATAGGGGATCCCTCCCGTATATTACCGCCGTGATGAAAGAGACACTAAGGTAAGTCTCGCCGCTCCGACACAGTCATGTATGCAAATTTGACTCTTCGTGGAAGATGGCACCCCGTTTCACCATTAGGTGAACTTCATTTTTGCCGTGTATGTCGTGCCCGTGCGCTAACTTATCGCACATCCTCCTGGAGTGTCGTACAAGTTGCGAGCGGACGACGAATACGGAGGATATCATTTTCCCGCAGGATCAATCGTCATTGGCAATGCTTGGTACGACCACTCAGATTGCTGAAGCTTACATGCATTCATGTCGTCTGGCAGGGCCATTCTCCACGACAAGAAGAGATACCTGAACCCGGAGATGTTTGACCCCACCCGCTTCCTGAGACCCGACGGAGAGCTGGATAACGGTGTGCCAGATCCTGTCGAAGCGGCTTTCGGCTTCGGTCGCAGGATCTGCCCTGGTAGGCACTTCGCCGCGGACTTGCTATGGATTACGATGGCGCACATATTGGCGACGCTGAACATTCAGAAAGCCATCAGTGAAGCGGGAAACGTCGTAGAGCCCAGTGGCGAATATACTTCGGGTTTCATTAGGTAAATTTCATGCGCAGCGGTGCTGTTGGTCGCCGAGATTAAAGATGTGATTTACGCAGCCACCCGGTTCCTTTCAAGGCATCCTTCAAGCCTCGGTCTCCTGCATCCTTGGACTTGATAGGGTCGAGAAGCTCTTTGAAATAAAGAGAAGTCTGAAAAGTAGATGCATCTCCATAGCCTGAATCTACTGTCGCAGGCTGCAGAACAAATTTCGTGCCGCACCTTTCGAGTACTGACCTTAGATCGAGTATACTTCCTGTTTGAAAGACGCATTTTAGTGCCAAGCTTGCGGCCGAACGAGAGAGCAGGACGTACTCTGTGTCGCTGGCACTTGTCTACTTCCCGTGACGCGTGGCAACAATCCCATCCTCCGCAAGGGGCGCACAATCGTCCTCGATGACAACATTCGAGACGACCTCGCGATAGGCGATCCCAGTCATCTCACCGTTGCCCTACAGCCTATTTTAGTCAGGGACCCTGGGGACGTTGCCGTCACCTGTAGCAACGTCAAGCTTCAACGCGCGGCGGACGTCGAAATCGCGTAGGACGAGCTATAACTTCCTTTCTGGCGGCGTTTTTGCGGCGAGGTACCGTGTGCCATGTACGGAACCGACGCTGACGTCGAGCCGGTCGTTCAGAATATCCGCGTGTGGCCGCACCCTTCATCGAAAAGCATGATCTACACCGCCGTCGTGTACGTAACTGACGGTTTACAATCAAAATGATCGAACAAACGCCTGACTGGTCTGATGCTACTCGGCGGACAGCCAGGAGTACAGGCGCGAATTCAATTTGCTAACCGTTAAGTCTCTATTTGTGCCTGACAGGCTAGCCGTTCGCCTAACAGATTCCTGAGCGTGAGGAAACGAGCTCTTCCAACTTGCAACCGTAGCTACGAGCCTACTTCCTGCTAATAAAATATTGGAAGCTTCCTGAGGGCAGTAACTAACCTTACTTGCATCTTTGTTGCATCCAAAATATTTTTCTCGCCACGAACGAAGGATGTGTCCAATGAAACGACTGACTTTGCGAATGCTTCAAGCCTTTGAGCCGGGGACAGCTTTGAACTCCGCTGATGCTCGGCATGCATCGGCATTCCCTCGGTGTGGTTCAAGCGCTTCTTGTCTGCCACGTCTCTTCCTCTCCCATCCTCCATTCACTTCGCGTATACCTTCA